TTGGCACATACTCGACCAAAACAAGGCAGTTCTTCTGATTCACGGCTGGGACCTACAAGAAGTGACCCGTTTTAAATGCGTGGAACCAGGTACCTCGGTCCCAGGAGAGACACGTCCTACAGAGGACAGAGACACCTTTTCGTATTTTTTCAGCGTCAAATGTCTGAGTAAGTAGCAACGACATCGTCTCCAAAATAGTTCCTCCTTTTATGGTCGTTGGTAGGCTCCTGATGTATCTACAGGTCCACAATGATGACCTCATGAGCACAGAAGTGGGTGCACCCAACAAATGTTGGGTTAATTCCTCCATGCGGCTGAGAATGCTTGATTATACACATCGGCGGTTGGAGCGTCAATTCCAACAATGCCCACCGTATGCCCCATAGCAGGGTGAACGCTGGGCCTGCGACTTGCTCGTGAATTAGTTTATGACGGAGGCACGCTTGCGCGGCGGGAAGTCGTAGCCCAGCTCGCCACCACACCAGCTCACTGAGTGGAAGTGCCATGGAGGCCACATAAAGAAACCATTACAGCCTGACGTTCAGTCCGATATACACATAGAAGATGAGTGATAAATGGACGTTTTGAGCCAGCACTTAGGAGCAGCCTGTCCTAGTCCTAGACGGCTAATATGGTCTGAACGCATTCTCCATCGCTCGTCCCATGAGCCCAGTGTTGCCACCTAACAGAAAATGATGCAGAGGCGGTCAGCACAAGACCCCGCGAGACAATTTGTCAAAGTTCAAGGGCAGTCCTTGGACGCTGGAGCAGTGAACTAACCCAGCCAGTTTGCTGACAAGCCCGAGGCATCGACAAGCGCAGTGAGGGCCATTATTTCATTAGTCATGGTCTCAGCAGTATAGAGTAAAAACTAGAGGATTTAGGTGAGAAAATTTCAGAACAACGGTGCTGCAGGAGTCAGGGCATGGAACGCGTATACGAAGTGTACCAAATGCAATACAAGTAGTCACTGCAATTTCCTGCTTTCCAAGAAAAGGGGACAATGGGAAGCATGAATTAATCTTTACAAGAAAATACAAAATCTGACCAATGCTAGAACTAGTCATTCACCACCACTTGAGGCGGATTTGGTCCGTGTCACTGCGATTACATCAAGGGTCTGAGCCGAGTCCTCAACATCGGTAGAAGAGTCGCTAGAGCTGTCCGAACTGGATCCAGTATAGGCGTCTAGTCCAGGAAGAAACCCAGCGAGAACGCGAGCTTCTACTGGACCAGTCTCTGTAGTCATCGACCCTGCGACCTTCGAATTGCTTTCCACTTGCTCAGAGAGTTCGTTGGGTTCTACAGGCAAAGCGACAACTCTTAGATTGTCAGAAAATAAACTTCGAAAAAATAAAGATGTGCAATTCCAATGTGCGCACGTGGCCAAAGCGGGCTGTAGGACGTGAGTTGAGTGTTTTGACCTCTGTAACATTTGTGGTTGTGCCCCTAGAATGGAGCACGCAGTAAAGACTCCGGACCAGCACAGGAGTCGGATTGCAATCCGGCGGACGTTACTAGAAATGCACACCCATAACAAATACCAACATTGGGGTGTGGTGGGAGGGCCTAGCGCGGTAGTTGGGATCCGAGTCGCCCCCTCTCATTGGTTGGTATAAAATATTGGCCAGTGTACGTTGTGGACCAGGAAATATGGTGGTACGCCTAGCTGCAAGTTTCCGCCGTCCCAGCCACCCACGCCTTCTCGCCTCCGGCCTTCTTGGCTGTCATGACACCGGGCCCAAGTGGGGAGAGGGAGTGCGATAGATACTGCGCGAGTATGCTGCCATTGTAAACGAATTCACGCGCGACTCACCGTCCTCGCTCCCGCTCTGCTGTGGAGCACACGGGTGCGCATCGTCAGAAACGACGGTCGGACTGTCGGTATCTGCGGCTCCAGCATTGGGCAAGGACGGAACATTTGATGGAGCAGCCGCAGCATCCATGTCCACCCGTACCAAATGTTCCCTGCCTTACAGCGACGATCGGTGGTAGGGCGCTAAGCGTCAACAACAGCCTACTTGACTGGCAACTATTCCCCCATCTATACAAACTTTAGGAACCCAAAAACGGTACTATTTCATCAAATTATGTACCCATGTTCATACATCCTGTCACAAAAGTCCTGAAATGAACTAAAAAACATGACAATTCCCACCACCGTCAGTTATAACGAGTTCCTCACCAACACATTCAACATCCGCCTACGAAATCTTGCAAATCCGGGCATGGCAAAGGCCTGCTCGGTCACATGCGCATACACGAAGAAATTTGCTTAAGTATCATCCATCTTTCACACAACAAAATTTCCCGACGTTTTGGGCGTAACGGACATGAACGATCCCGCATCTACGCCTGCCTTACGTGTGCAAGTCAACACGCAAACGAAATGCGACCCAACGGCTAATAGATTGTGAACGCAAAGCTACCAATGGTGTGAGCAAGCCCCACTGAGTACAGAAGGAAAGGCCAGTAAGCATATACAACTGATATTCAAAAAACCAACGGCCTGATCGCCAAACTCATGCCGAAAGCGTGTGTTGGTTCACCGCGTTGTTCGGATTGCGTTAAAACAACCAAGGCTGTTAAGGAAAAGTAACCAGACTGTTAAAGGAATAAATTAGTCTGGCACCTCGGCGGCATCAAACGATGCCGAAGGATATAGGGAAGTCCGGTGTTCAGAAAAAGACAGCACATTTCGAAGTATCAGGGTCAACAACTCGGTAGTTTGCCAAATCAGAAGACAGTTATACGACCAGGCTTTACCGAGGCAAGGCAGTGTGCACGCGACTCAGCAAGCATTTGCCGCAAGCGCTCTCAATAGACAAACGTCAGCCACTGAGGTCCCCAGCCCCGGCGTGAAGCGGCTGTGTGCGTCTGGGCATTGTCCGCCAATTGCCAACTAGCAAAGGACGGAGTCCCACCAGGCCTTGAACGCTCGCCACACTAGTACTAAGTAGTTGATTGACAGGAGCCGTCAGGCGAACTGAAGACGGCGTGGACGAGTGGCCGCTCGGACGACCGTAGGAACGGGCTCTTACAGCACCCCCCACCCAGACCAGAGGCAGTGTGTTGCGGTGCCGAAGAAATTGTCCCAGCGCAAGAACACATGAGCGACCATTTCGTCCCACCGCAGACTCCAGCCTCAGAGTCTGATGTCCAGAAAGGCTCTGGAATCTCCATGAGAAGGACTGTTCTGGGTACTCTCAAGTGCTACCAAAACCTGTCGGAACCTTTTAGATGACAGGGATGTGGTCAGCGCCGACCGGGTCAGGGCTGCTATCCTAGGCACAAAAATATGCTCAACCTGTATCCTCTGCTTTCCCACCCTACTCTCTGTATCTTCATCTCGTCTACACCCGCCCCTACATGTTCACCGCCTTCAGCTGTAACTTCGTCATTCTCCAATTCTTCCACCGCAGCGCACGCGAGACTTCAAATGTCCCTTCCGTATGAGTCACACAGTGGACGCCATGCTCACGTTCCTGGTCGACCGGTTACTCGTGTTTTTACACCGAGACAGTTCCTTCGGCTTCATTACACTCTCTTTTGTCTAGATGAGAGTACCGTAGCGGCCCGTTGTCAGAGTCATCCGAGAGGCCGCTCGTTCACGCTGCCTTCAGTCCGTCGGACGCTCCCTGTCAATCAATTACTTGGCACTCGCGTGGCCAGAGCTCGAGGTCTGTTGACGGACAAGGCCTGATGCACGCACGCGCTTCACGCCGGGGCTGGAAATCTCAATGGCTGTCCCTTGCCCAGTGAGAATGCTTGCGGAACTGTTTGGTGAGCCGTGTGTATACTGCTTTGGTTCAGTAAAGTCTGACCGTCTAACCGTCGTCCAGGCCTCCTGATGTGGGGTACGACTGAGTTGTCGACCAGCGTAATTCAACAAACAGTACACAGTAACTGGATGCCGGCAACATTCCGGGCTGGCCCTTAGTCCAAGTAAGAAACGAGTTCTATCATTGGTTGGCGATCTTCCGAGTTACGGATTTTAGTACCTCGGAATAGTTTCAAACACACTAAAGTTATTGGGGAATGTTCTAAATTGCACCTCAGCATAGGCCTCACTCTCTTTCCCCTCTCACGCCCCTGTTGCCTTTTTGAGGCTGTGGCGAACTGGAAATTGCGATATTGGAAACTAGCTGATGCGGCGTAAGCCCCTTTCTGACGCGCATTACACGCGAATATCCGCACACAAGAGATGCCACTTACCAGTATCGGCGTCGATAAGTTCAGCCGCATGATCTTTGACATATCAGTGGGTGATATTTTAATAAGCGTTATCGTATACGTGCATACGGCGGAATCGGCTTATGCCGCGGCCGAATAGGTGAGTAATACCTAGTCTGCATAGGCAGACATGCTAGACATTGGACGGCATTCCTGGCACTGGTGCTTTAGTTGTAAGTTGTGGCATTTTTGATTAGCCGTTCAATCAATGACGCCCATCAAGCTCGACGGTGGAACAGACAAACGGTCTTTTTCTTATTCATCATCGATTATGAAGGCACTTCTGGCTACCTTTATATGGCTTCGAGACGACTTTCAGTAAAAAAGCAAGGGACATAGTCTGACGTGTTTACACATCATCTGCGGAGGTCATAAACCTGATCGTAAATAAGGACGCGCCTAACAGGCCGTTTCTGACCGACAGTGCCCGTGACAGATGACTGCATAGATCGTACCGATGGTACGTTCGTCAGGCGGCTGGCTTAGATAGGCCTTGTTAACTAACAAAAGTCTATTGAATGCCCGAGGGTCGTCTCACCAACGGCTTTACTCCTGCCTCGGATAGGTGAGGAAATTAGGTCAGGCGATGGAAGATCGGAATGTGGAAGACAGGTAAATCATGGCACTGAATGACCAGACGTTTGGATGAACACAAAACCACTGCTGTGCGATAGTTGGAGAGATATGGAACAATGTATCATCATCATTGGATCCCGTGTGGCGGTCGTCCGACGATAAGATAGTATGAGATCTCCGAAAGCTACTGAGGTGTGTGCGATGCAGCTTGAATCGTCCTCCGTTTTCAAAGGTGAAAGTGATTTTAAGCATCTGTTCGTACGGTGAAAGCTTCTAACATATACGATCTAGGAACACACAGGCCGCTTCCTAATTAGGTGCTGTGGTGGTGTACGTGCAGTTCGAAATAAAATAACTAAGGCTAATTTATGATGGATCAGGCCGAAAATGAGTGACAGAAGAGTTCAGATTTGGGAGTCGAAGGACGAAATATTCTGTAACAGAATGGGTATCTGGAGTGTGTAGAGCGAGACAATGATCACTCATGCTTGGCCAACAGTTGAAGGTTCAGCAAAGATCAGCACAGTTTCCCTTGGTAATAACGATAATAGTTCGAGCTCGTGGAGGTACTGCAGTAGCATCTTTTCCCAGTGGCGAATTATGTCAGGATATGTTTTTAAGGATGACAGTGGACCGGCTCACCGGTGTTGCACCGTCCACGACCTCCAGAGCCCTTACACCATTGAATGCCCCTTAAAGCTATGTTTCCCTGACCTTAATCGAAGACGGTATGTTTAAGCTTGTCTTTGGAGCATAAATTAGTACAAGTTTAAAACTAAAACGTTTTCCCAACTTGATATCGTTGGTCCGGCATACGACATAACCGAGAACAAATATAATATCTGGACGGTAGCATGCGAAGGCAAGTTGGTTTACACGAGGTTAGTAAGTTAATTCTTTCTGTTAGGGTTTACTTATTTCGTTTTGAAATAGGTTAGTCAAAACTAGGATTAAATAATACTGTGTCTACTTGACCTCTGATTTATCGCGGTCTGCTATGGGGTTCTTTTTAGTGCACAACAACCCTTAATAAATGTTCGAAATTTGGTTACAAGTGCACTTACCACTTTTAATTCCGTAAGATACTGTATTGCCCAAATTTCTTTGGGTGGTCCCTATGGCGTTGCAATTACACAAGTGTCACATGAACAACTGCAACTACGCTGGTATCGCCCTGTTTCGGGTTAGCATGGCTATGGAATCATTTGACTTAGTCATCAGTACTACCAAAACCGATATTCCCCCAAGCTTCATCCCTGAACAGGACAAGCGTTTTCTTGTGATTTTCGGCTGTCAGTTAGGAAAAGTAGACAGTTCAAGATCCCTCAGGACAAAATATCTGGAACAAGAGTAAACCAGCTGCCATATGATCGCCAGAGTGGATTTTTCGTGGTGGCTCCCGATATATCATTGGGATCACCGTGATACTTCTGTCAACGTGACATTCTACTGCATCGGTTTTCAAAGAGGACTAACACAAACCTGAGCGTCATAACCACAATTGGCCGTCTATATACCGAAAAAGGCAAACGAAATAGTCAACGCCCCTTACGACAATATAGCGAAAAAAAGTATTTTCGTCGATTTTCCCATCGCTGCCTAAAACTCAAGACTTTCCAACACTTCTATCAGGGCAAAGAGATTCGCACCTGAAGGTGATTCTAAAACCTTCGAAGCTTGTTCGCTGTCTTTACCTAAAATATGGAGTCAGTTCCATGTGCACATGAAGTGCACGTGAATAAAATAGGCGAAGCTGTGCAAATAACAGCGCTCACCGTCGGTGAACCTCTAGTAATGGAAACGAGAAAGGATGCCGCTTAACCTAATTATTCACCAACATGCCTAGTCTGCATTTACGCCTAATCCCATGAAAATTGTTTGGCAGACGAACTGAGGGCCTGAGCCCAACAGCTTGCGGCATCGAACAGGCAAAATCTGATGATGATGAATGGGCGAGTAGTTTAATGATGGATGGAAGTTTATGTAGAATGGCAACCACTTGGTTTGCTTTTTACCTTCATGTTAAAAGGCGTGAAACATACAAAAAATTCTTACCGGGTGCACTTGTATGCAAACGTTTTGGGTCCTGGTCGGAATTCGAAACACTAGATCGGTGAGAAAACAAGAAGTGGTAAGTACCTTTTCCGTTTAATACCGGACATGAGGCGTCTCTGATCCAATGTGGAGGAGGAACTCGGTGTAGGACGACGAGGAAGCACAACTGTGCCTGCGGTACTGCGTTCAGTGGTGACCTTTACAAGAATAGATCTATTGGCCGCGTAAAAACAGTTAAGGAAAAATCGAAGGGTGAAAAGGATAGAAAGAGGAGAGATCCAAGTGCGCGGTTGCCCGATTGGACCAAAAGTGAGTGTACGGGGATGAGAAAGTAATGTGCGATGCTGCTATCATTTTAGTGAGCCATTTGGTTTAAATACTTGAAGACGGATGACTACTTTGCGATATTGTGCGGTCTGGACTACAGTGCCCGGCTGCAGGCTGGGCCTGCGACACGTTTTTGACGCACAAAAGCGCCCAGACTAATTTGGGGCCTCGGATCCCAAGTGCGGATAGCCGAGTGCATGCTGACAGTGAAAATCTATTATACCAATTAATATACCGCCGGTCACTTGACACAACTGGGTCATACGGCCGGGATCAGTGAGAGTGGCACTTTCGTAAGTCGATTAGACGAACTTCAGAACAAAAAACCATTCATACGCCCGTGATAGAACGCTGAATTTACCAGCATATGAAGATATCTAAATGAGAGGTTGTCTAGCATCGTTGAAGACCAACGACTTCGCAAAAACACAAGAGCATACTTCCAAGCGAGATAACCATAAAATATTGGGATAATGCGTAGCAACGGAAAAGGGGCTGACTGTGTTGGTGTACTGTCGGAAAGTCACATAAGTGGTTGGAAACCCCATCAAGGCCCCACGCTGAATTGTTCAATAGGACCTTGCAAGAATAAAAGTCTCTGGACGGCCATCAAATTCTTAGTGACCCAGAGGTTCGGAAAGCGCAACCAAAATACATACGTGGCTATGCTTAAATTATGGTGTTCAGAGTACACAATTGCCCAAAGGCATGCAAAAAGGTCACGAAAAAAATGTGAGCAAGGATCAATAAAAGCAAAAGGATATTTTCGCCTCCTTAATAAGCATATCAGCCTCATGTTCGGCAAATTCTTGAGCGCTATATTTCTTTTCTTCAACTTTCGCCAAAAATTCTGCTTCGTCAGGATCCAATCGATGAATTTGGTTCTTAAAAGCAGCATTGGTTTCATATTCTTCTTGTTTACGAGCCTTTTCGGCCTAGAGACTGTGCTCAGGTCGATTACCAACGAACCTGTAAGCGATCATACAGTGATCGCGGATCATAGGGTTCCTCTTTTATTCCCTCAGCTTCATTTCGAAGTCTGCGTTCTGTAACTTCCTTCTCGGAAATAAACCTCGGCAAATTCGCCGACATCCCTGAGTTGATTTGTTGAGAGGACCACCTGAGTCCCTAAACCGCGACCGAGCAATAACACCAACGCAGGCGGGACACAGCCGAAACACAAATGCGTTTAACATTGAGCAGCCTAAAGAAACAAAAATTAGAAAAATCTGCAATGCAAAATACGCAGAGGAATAGAACAAACAACAATAGCAGCTTAATAGCCACAGAAGGCGCGTTATCAAGGCTTTCGTAAACTGGGTATTTGGTGAACATCTTCAGCCCTCCCTGATCCTAGGGTTAACCATAACCATAGCATCTGTAATACTCGGGTTAACTTTCGGTTTAGTCTCATCTGGATTGATGTACTTAGGGAATGATTGGCGGTGCTGGTCATTAGAGGTCGCTGCAGACATTCGTTCATGAGCTTCCTTGCATGGGGATCGGGAACACGGACCAATAAATTCTTCATGCCAATGTCTATACTGGGTCAGTTAATTCATCCGCTCCTCAGTTTCTTTCCGCGGTGAATACGTTACAGTATTCGGCCATGGATTTCCAGCTGAAAATGGGCTAGCTAACAATGGTCACCAGTTTTCCTGTCCGTAATTTCCTCCCCCAAGTCCTACTCCTTTTTATTCGTGTAGGAATCTTTTCATGCCACAAAATATTTTGCAGGACCGGATGGGTACATCCGGACCGTGTGTTCCGTGGGCAGCCAATCCCTGGACGACGTAGCCCACCTCACTCAGAAACAAAAAGCCTTTTCCGTCAAACGTTTTGTTTTGAATGTCAGATCTTGCTAATTTAATGTCTTTGCTTCAGTCTCTGATGTTCGTCCATTGTTCAGATATTGTTTTAGTAACGGAGACATGGGCATCAGCTAACGTAGCTGATTCCGATCTCTCTCTTCTAGTCTATACCGGCATTCAAAATAATCGTCAGAACAGCCGCGGTGGGGGCAGTTGCGTCTACGTTAAGCAAACACTTAGATTTTTGACGCTGGACCTCCCGCATTTTTCCGCGATGGAAGGAGGCTGCTGGCTCCAGGTTGAACTAAAAAATAAGTTCTCCTTATTCGTTGGCTGTGTCTATCGCCCTCCCAACGCCAATGAGAATTTCAATCGTTCACTCTCACTGGCATCTCATGCTGCGGCAGAATTAAGCTTTAAGTATCAATTGGTTGCGGGGGACTTTAATCTTCCAGAAGTCCTCTGGTCTCCGCCTTCTGGCCCCAGAAGGTTCGTTGACTTTCTTGAGGCGGCGGATGTATATGTAAATTTGAACGGTTAGAGGCTGTGCACTTGATGGCCCTTTTTCATGTACAATGCTTTCGCAGATCCGCACTCAAAACTAAAATTGCAGGCATTTACCATGTGATCGTGTCATAGATCAATAGTAATCATAAGGAAGTGCGTCAGGTCCCTGTAAGTTAGATCGGAGTGAAAGTACATGACAGTGTTTTACAGAACTGGCTGTGGGTAGTCATGCTGTAAGAGCCGATTTCTGTCGAAAATTAGGCGAGCAAGTTTTCTTTTAAACATGCACATTTTGTCAGCACTCACCAGCTCGCTTGGAAGCGAGTTCCACGGTCGGACAACCCGCTGGCTGAGTGAAAACTTTCTACGGTCAAACCGCGTGCGCTCATTCTTGACTTTGTAGACATGACCGCGTAAATGGTTTGCACTGGCGAATTCAGTTTCAGTTTCAGTTTATTTGAGGGAAATATAGGCGTTGGAACTTTGAACTCCCTATTTGTTACAAAGAAGCGAACTATATCAAAAATGCGAAAAATAGAAACATCAAACACCTACAGTTTCTTCAGATTGGCAAAGTTTTCGAAACCAGGTAGATAAACGAATTGTTCCAAATGTTAAAAAACAGAAAAGTCCTCCGTTCTTAATGAGCAACCTTGGCCACGGACAATGCGGAATGTCCAAAGCAGACTACAGTTGAGTTGTCTATAAGAGAGAGGTAATATGCCAAGCAAATTCAGCCTCTCATAGTAAGACAAATGCTTTAGACCGTCGACCATCTTTGTCGCTCTGCGTTGCACCTATTCGAGTAAGTCAATATCCTTCCTCATCCATGGTGAAGCTGCTGGCAT